TCCTAACCTAACCCAGGTTATGTCCTAACCTAACCTAGGTTATGTCCCATTTTTAGTCTAAGTCATGGGTTAGGTTAGGAATCTCTTTCATATCCGTTTCATAACCTCCTGGGATAGGTTAGGTATTCGAGTTTATCTCTCATTTCGCTTTCCTAACCGGGGTTAGGTTAGGATCAAGGTTAGGTTAGGAAACCACCTTTCCTAACCTAACCCAGGTTAATTTACGTTTCATCTCATTTTCCTAACTTTACCTGGGTTAGGTTAAGATCTAGGTTAGGAATTCAGCTTTCCTAACCTAACCTGGGTCCTAACGTTGATTTTGACGCGTTTGAGGTAGTTTCTGTACAGCAAAGAGGTAGGGTCTAGGAGTATTAGAGTGGCTCAGCCAATAATGCTTTAATCAATAACAGGTTTTAGTACACAGATCAACCATGTTGGATAATTCATTTATCAGAGGTTCAACGACACAAAAGCTGCGCAACAAATTTCAACATTGAGAATTTCCATATAGCGTAAAATTAAAAACAAGGCCTAGTATACAGGCTACATAAAAAAACAATATCACAAATTTGGAAGACAGTATTATAAATATTCAGGCTAAAAAATAAAAAAAATCTAGATTCAATATTTACAAAGGAAATGTTTTAAGTCTCATTTCCATTTGGTACAAAGATAAATACTAGTAATACTTCTAAGTGTCAGTAACAACCTTATAACTAAATAACAGCTAACTATCTGTCGGGGAATTCTTTGTACAAAACATACCTTATTATGAACCTCTCTCTTAATAAACTGTCAGCATCCACAAAATGGGAAAATAGTAATAACATCACAGCAATATGGGAAACCAAGGCCTACTCAGAGCTTGCTTTTTCAAAAGATGAGTGTACTGACACAATTACTAGTAGCACATGACTTTCACCGCAGAGCAAACAATTTTAGGGTTTATTTAGTACTCAAACAATAGAGTGAGGCAGTTAAGATAGTAGAAATGCTTCTGCTCTTGAGACAAATTAAAAACAGTTTACAGGCAAGGCAATATAGCTATACCCATAAAATAAGTTAAGCTATCCACTAATTTGCTCAGTAAAATATCTATTTGACACAATTAAAAAAAATGTTCCTAAAAATTGGCAGGAATGCAACATGCTCTCAGAAATATGAAAATGGACAAAAATAATCCTCCACATGAATAAAAAGTCAGTGTGGTGTTAGTCATAAAAATACCATACATTAAGGTTCTTTACAAACACATTAGCCATATTGTACACAACTTACACAGAATAAGCTCTAATTCGTTGAAAAATTTGGCAGTACATTTTAGTTTAACAAATATGCTCCACTAAGTTGGCTGCAACCATTCACATCTTTAAGTTTCTGAACAGTACTTTTGTAATAATGAGCTGATAATTCACATTACAATGAATTTGCCATGACATCACTACCGACGCTTGCTATTCATGTCAATGTATTCTTGTACACAGTAAGTCATTTACAACTACAGAAATAAATATTTTATGCAATATATGGAAAGAAATTAGATTCATTGGGCATGTGACAAGTGCAAAATCTTTGCCAGAAATCATGAGCCGAGTGGCCATATTTTATATTCAGCTATGCACTTAAGAATTGGATTACTCAATTGTAGCAAGAAGATCATCACCCTCAACCTTCATGCCTGGCTTGATGTCGATTGATTTCACAACTCCTGCAATGGGTGCTTGTACAACCATTTCCATTTTCATAGCAGAGATAACAATTAGAGGGGCTCCCTTCTCAACTTTCTGACCCACTTCCACTTGAACTTCAATTACAGAGCCAGGCATTGGAGACCCAACATGACCCTTCACTCCCTTTTGTGCTTTGGGATGAATGTGAATTTCCTGATAATAAAAGACTCAAAGTTAAACAATGTACTGATCAAATTAAAATTTGACTTGCAGTGTAAAACCTTTGGGATGACTTACCTTCCTGGCTTCATTATCAGCAATGAAGACAGATCTCATTTGTCCATTGAGCTCAAAGAATACTTCCCTTTCTCCATTCGGAGTAAGGTCATCAGCCATTGCCAACGTTTTGAAACTCAATGTTTTACCCTTTTCAATGGAAGCCTGAGAAATAAAATCAGAAACAGTTGCAGTGAGGATAGGTTCCAAGAAAAAATTTAAGTCATAAAGATATTTCATTTATAGTACATACCTCAAAGTCTTCCCCAATCTTGGGACCAGTCAAGAAAATTCTTGTTTCTAATTTGTCAACTGGTCCAAATTCTTCCCGGAAATTGAGGTAATCCTCAGTAACTGAGGGATACAAAGCAGAGCTCATGACATCATACTCAGAAGCACCAGGATGTCTTTCCTTGAGCTCATCTCCAAGTTTTTTAAAATCTAAGGGGGGCAAGCTGGCACCTGGGCGTCCTTCAACACGGGGCATGTCTTTTAAAACCTGCAGAAAAGTTATGTTAGATATGGCAATGTGTTATGGAAAGGCATATTAACAATATTTATTTTCTTTCAAACCTTTGATCGAAGAGGCTCTGGGTATCCTTGGTAGGGTTCACCAATAGCGCCCTGAAGAAACTCCACTACAGACTTAGGGAAACTGAGTTCTTCTGCTTTTTCAAGTACATCATCAGCTGTAAGTTTATTTTGGACCATGAAGTTTGCAAGGTCTCCTACAACCTTGGATGATGGAGTGACCTAAAATAAAATAATGTGTTTACAATTGCTTCCTTTCTAGCTAATTCCCACCTGGCTAATAACCTTTAATTTCTTAAATTACCTTGACAATATCACCAAGGAGAAGATTCGCTTCTCTATAAGCTTTCTTCACATCTTCAAAGAATTCACCAAGACCAAGGGAATAGGTTTGGAATTGTAAATTTGTGTACTGACCACCAGGAATTTCATTAAGGTACACATCAGCATTTCCACTCTTCATGGTGATACAACATTCAAAGGGAGCATAAAGAGTACGAGTTTGTTCCCAATATGCCGAATATTTGCTAATATCTGAAAGATCATATCCTGTAAAAGAAAAAAAAATACAGTTGTAAATGGAGTCAGATTTGGGCGAAATAAATTTAGATAAAAGTTATAAGTGACAACTCATACCAGTATCCAATTTGGTTCCCTGCAAAGAGGCAACCACAGCTCCCATACTGGGTTGCGAGGTCATTCCTGACATGGAGTCCACAGCAACATCAACAACATCAGCACCAGCCTCAGCACACGCAAGCATTGACGCCACACCAGCACCAGCAGTGTCATGGGTGTGAATGTGAATGGGTAAATCAGGGTATTTGTCACGGATGGCGGTAATGAGCAACTTGGCTGCAGCTGGTTTCAACAATCCAGCCATGTCCTGAGGTGAAAAATTAAGTACAGATGTAGGTACATTGTAGATTGATAACAAAAGTAAGTTAACAGCCATAGACAAGATTCATAGAATGTGTAGTACCTTAATGGCTAGCACATGTGTACCAGCTTTGACAAGTTCATCAGTTAAGTTCAGGTAATACTTAAGATCATACTTAGTTCTTTTGGGATCAGAGACATCTCCAGTGTAGGATATAGCAGCTTCTACAACACCCCCTGCCTTTCCAGCTGCTTCCATTCCCACAATCAGGTTAGGCAGGTAGTTAAGAGAATCAAATACACGGAAAATATCCATGCCAGCCTTCACTGACATTTCACAAAACCTTAAGGAAACACACACAAAAAAAATATTTGTTATGGTTGAAGAGAAAAAAAACTTAACTTACAGAATGTACAAGAAGAAAATAAAAACTTACTTAAAGACCACATTGTCAGGGTAGTTAGTATAGCCAACAGCATTGGCACCTCTCAGCAACATTTGGAAAGGAATGTTAGGAATCTCTTTGCGCATAGCTTCAAGACGTTCCCACGGACACTCATGTAAAAATCTAAGGGATACATCAAAAGTTGCTCCACCCCAATTCTCCAAAGAATACAGATTGTTGAAGTTGTGAGAAACGAATGGAGAGATACGAAGCAAGTCGTGAGTACGAACACGAGTGGCAAGAAGAGATTGATGGGCATCACGGAAAGTTGTGTCCATCAATAACAAGCCCTTTTTAGCACGAACAGCTTTCGCAAATGCTTCAGGTCCATCCTTCAATAAAACCTGGCGGAGACCTTCAGGTGGCTTCATGTCTGTAACAATAGTAGAAATAAGAACATGCAATAATAAAATATTAATCTTACACAATTTTAAAAATAATTTTAAAAGTTCTGTGAAACAAAACAAATTAACCAAAAGCACAAAGGGAAAAAAATGCCATGCAAAGTACTTACATACTACTTCCTCCCCATCTACATCTGATGATGAAGCTGATAAGTCTGAAAAAGTACATATAAAAAATGCACAAAGCTCACAACAAAAAACAAACAAAAAAAAAGAAATCTAGTAGGAGAGGAGCAGGAGGGGAACAAATTGCATTGCTACTCATAGACAGAGTTCTCTAATTCAAAACTATCAGATGCAAATGCTGTTTAAGGATAATGCTGGTTAGAGTAGTATGATATAGACTTTAGTAACTCTTGATTGCAGCTATTTGAACCCTCAGAAAATTAAGGCCTTATTTTAATAGGAATCAATTATAATCTAAAGAATCTTTTTTACCAGCATATCCATTACAACTTTACTGAGTTTGAGCTGTCACAATAGAATTATATGCACGTACCAACATATGTCTTGTGCAAATTTAAATAAAAGCTTTTCAATTAAAAAAAAAAAGTAAAGTTGGCTTTGTTATTAATTTAAATCCTACAAGAGTTTGTAAAATACTTTTGAAGAGCAATACGGAAGGTTCAAATATACTGCAGAACAGCAGTTTGCATAAAGCTAACAAACATCAAAGTTCATGCATAGAATACTGTCACCATTGGGGGGAGGTACACAAAAATTTCTAAAATTTCTTGGAAAGGAGAGAGATACTCACCAATTGGTACTTCAGGCACATGAGGAGTGACATTGGCTGGTTTTAGAAGAGTATTGGCAAGTGGGGTTGATGGACCATTGACTAAAACACTTCCTAAATAGTTCAGAAGCTTCTGAGCTCTGTTTTGAGAACGCTTGAAATTGAAAAGCGTAGGCTGTTCATCAATGAAGTTAGTGTCAACAGCACCATTCAAGAATGTCTGATTCTCCAGAACATTAAGCAAAAATGGAATGTTGGTCTGGTGAAAAAAAAAAAGGGAGAAAGAGAGACATTAAAATACTCACTGTTTAAACAGGTGGTAACATTAGTATGTTATCTGCAGTAAGGATTAAAAACTCACCTTGACACCTCTCACTCTGAACTCACGAAGTGCACGGGACATTTTAGCAGAAGAACTCTGTAGGTCAGTTGAGTGAGCAATAACCTTGACCAATAGAGAGTCATAGAATGGGGAGATGACAGCACCGGGATATGCTGATGCACCATCCAAACGAATGCCCATACCTTCTCCTGTTCTGAACACCTGTACATGGAACATAGTTTACCTCTAAAATAACAGTTGAAGTCATAGTGCCTAAATATATTAACTTTACTGTGACTTTAACCTATTTTTAAAATTGTTTTTAAGCTGTATTAGGTACCTCAATTCTGCCAGTATCAGGCTGGAAATTTTTGGCTGGGTCTTCAGTGGTCACTCGACACTGAATAGCATAACCCTGTGGTTGAATTTTCTCTTGTGTCATGCCAAGCTCAGGGAGGGTCATACCCTCAGCTACCTTTATCTGAGATTGTACCAAATCAATGCTGAAAAAGATAAGAAAGTTAAACCATTTTCTAAACTTCTGTACATGCAGTAAAAAGCTATAAATATGAATCTCACCCTGTGATTTCCTCAGTTACAGTGTGTTCTACTTGCAATCGAGCATTGACTTCAATAAAATAAAAGTTACCCTGTTCATCACACAAAAACTCAACTGTTCCAGCATTTTCATAACCAACATGTTTGGCAAGCTTTACAGCATAATCAGTCATGGCATCTCGAACCTAGAATTTAATATAAGAATTCATGAAAATTAAGGAACACTATAATTTTAATTGCAACTCTAAACAAGACTTACCTTTATGGGCAGGTTCGGAGCAGGAGCAATTTCAACAACTTTCTGGTGTCGACGTTGCACTGAGCAATCACGCTCATAAAGGTGAACTACATTGCCTGCTTTATCTCCAAGTAATTGTACTTCAATGTGTCTTGGTCTTTCAATGAATTTTTCAATAAACATGGCACCATTACCAAAAGCTGCCTGTGCCTCAGAGCTAGCACGAGTAAAAGCTTCTTTCACTTCCTACAAATGATAAAAAAATTACTTGATTGGGCAGGTTTTGTAGATTTACACAATAAAAAAAGTATTCCAACTAGTTACCTCCATTTTTTTAACAACGCGCATACCACGTCCTCCACCTCCATATGCAGCCTTAAATATGACAGGAAGACCATGCTTCATGCAGAATTCTTCTGCCTCCTCAGCCTTAGTGACTGGGCCATCTGTACCAGGTACAATTGGGACACCAGCCGCAATAGCAGCTTGACGAGCAGCTACTTTGTCTCCCATTTGTTGAACAACTCTGGGAGCAGGACCGATAAATCTTATTCCAGCATCCACCACTGCTTGAGCAAAGTCAGAACGCTCAGAAAGGAAGCCATAACCCGGATGAATGGCGTCTACGTTGTTTTCCTGGAAAATAAGATATGAGCTTAGTAAAGATTCCAAGTAACCCAAAAAGCCCAGCTTAAATTGAAGTGTGTTCAGGGAACTCACTTTTGCAATGCGAATAATGTCAGGGATGTTGAGATAAGCTTGAACTGGTGGTAGCCCTTTGCCTACAATGTATGACTCATCTGCCTTCTGTCTGTGCATTTGCATTTTATCTTGCTCTGAGTAGATGGCAACTGACTTGATTCCTAATTCAGTACAGGCTCGGAACACACGAATAGCAATTTCACCTGAGTAAAAATGTGAAATAGATTAAAGAGATTTAATCCCTAGCAGAACAAGAAATGTAGAGGAACTATGTTAATACAAATAACACAATCTTACCTCGGTTGGCTGCCATAACACTTCGAATAGGACGGTATTCTACTTTTGATGATTGGTGACGATTGGTGATGTGTAGTGGGCTGCGCAGTCTGCGCGCAAGCGCAGACCGGGCAAATTTGTTCCCCAACATGGTTGCAGCCTAAAAGCAAGCAAGAAATACAAAATGTTGGCCATACAGATGAATGAGCTCAGATGTCACACTCAAAACCAGAGTTTCAAAAACTATAGGAAAAAATTTTACTACCCCAGACAATCAATATACAGGAATAAGTAATACTTCTATGATATCAATACTCATGTATTCATGGCACAATCAGTAATGTAATATACATACCACACAACACAACCACTGATTTGAAAAGAGCTTGCTTAGGCTCCGACAGTCAGATGCAGAATACCAGCAGGCCTCAAGCAAACAAACCAACCCAGCCCAACAAGTCAAAGTGGAACTGGCAGTCAGACAGACTTCTGTCTGACTGGCCAGACTGCCTGCTTGTCATTTTATCACTTTGGGGTCATAGAGGTCAAGGCTACATAAACCTTAGTTTCCTTGGTTTAAAGGGGAACCTTATCACAGATCAAACATGATAATGCAGAGAAAGCATTCAACCTGCTTAATGAACACTACAGGAGAAAGAGTGGGGTTGATACATAGGGTCACCATGCTGTAAGGATACTCAAAAATGTGCTATCGTTCAAAAAAGTTTAATGATTTTTTTTTTTTTTTTTTTTGGAGAACTGCTGCAATGTGCAAAGAGAAAATCAAGCAGCTTGACCATGAGCGCATGACTGCAAATAAAGCAGGCAGTAGAGAGAAATTAGACACAAAGTTGATGAGGTCATGCAGTCAGATTAAAATACTGATATTCACATTTTAGATGCAAAGCCTCCAGTATAGGTGAAGAACAAATTTTAAGATGATAGTACTTGTACATACTACAAACATTTTAGATAGCCGGTATATTTAAAAACACCAAACACAGACAACAAAAAAGATGTGAGGGAGTGAAAATAATGAGCAAGTGACTGAATGGTGCGTTGTGAAGGTGATGTGTGTACTTTGAACGCCCAATAAAGTGCACATGAGAGTAGGTAACTTACTGACACACTTAAGATCCATGTCAGTTCTGCCTCTTAAAGTTAATCAATACACGCAGTACTGGAGCACCAATTTGTGGAAACAGGGACTCAGTCAAAAGCTATTTAAACTTCTTCAAAAGTAAATGCAGAAAATAATCAAAAAGCATGTCACTATCCTAGAGTCTTTTAGCATGAGCATAGATTAAAATACAGAGTGAGATAGTTCCACACATTTTCAAAGAAAACAAACGCACAAGAAGTGCAATTAACCTTCGGAGAACGATTCACGAATCATGCTGGCATGCCACCGTAATTATAACACGAAAAGTGTAAATTTCATGCACGTAACATACCACTGGTTGTGCTGCGGCTGCTTGTAACTGAGTTCGGCGACCGAAAATGGAGGAGGTAAGCGCTGACAGGAGGACACGGCCGACGAGCTCCAAGTTAAAAGATTTGTCTACTCGGGCCGGGGGAGCAAAGTCAGGTCTTCAAAATCGTCGTGCCCCCTTGAGAGCTCACCACTCCCGTCGGTCTCGCTCGCTCTACTACGGTCAAATGTTGTTTTCAGTGATTTTGCCTACTTTTCTTCTTCTCGTCGTAATGTAGTTCAAGGGCACGGGCGACACAAGTCGATAGCCTCGAACGACGGAGAAGTGAACCGGAGCTCACAACGGTCTTGAACCGGAGACCGCCATCACTCTACAGTGAGACTATCCATTTGACGGAATCAGTCTGAGGTGGAAAAGACTACCGTTCGAAACGATTGCCTGCGCCGGCCGACAGTCGTCGCACAACACCTCGCGCGACTGTACTCGGAACGAGACATCAGCTGGACGGCGTGGAGGGGAGGCCCAAGGAGAAAGAGGAGGAGTGGGGTGGAGGGGGAAGGCCAGGCCCACAGGCCCGCGCAAACTAACTCTAGTCGCCTAGCCGGTCGGTGTTTGCGCCCTATGCGTGCAGCACGTGGTGTGGTCTGCACCGCGGTAGACTTTGTCCGAACTTTGGGGCGCCAGACGCCTTCGCTGACGCCCGACGGGCACGGGCACTTTCCTCGGGCGGAGGAGCCGAGCTAGTCGGGTGCTACGGGCGCTGCTTTGGTACGGTGGCGTGGCGCGTGGCGTGGCGCCGCCGGCCGGCCGGCGTAACGCCCAACGCCGCTCGGACCATCTCCTGTTACATCACGGCCGGTCGCAGTGCGCCGCTGCGCCGCCGGCCTTCATCCGGGGGCATCACTGAACTTATCACCTCGGCCGCCAGGGCCCCTCTTACAGCCCCATCCCATCCCACTATCCTTTGCAAACACCAAAGCCAGCAGGCGCCCGCGAGCCGACACCCCGAATTCCACAATTTATGAGAAAATGTTGTGGCGCATGTTTTCGTCTTTAGTATCGGTCTGAAAAATCTAATCCAAAGGGTACCCTACCCAACAGACCCTCTACTATTTCGCTATGCATACTCATCGGGATTCGAACCGATTCGGTCGTTCAGAGAGTGCAGAAAATTACCAGCTTGTCGAAAACGAGCACTCACGTATGAGCCGTTATCGGCATTTCAGTACCGGCCAATCGATTCGATTCCGTTTCAAGTTCGACAGGTGGATTGAAGGCCCTTTGCGCCGTCTGCCTTTGCCCCGCTCGAACGAAGGTGACTTTGAGTCGGGATTACGCACGGCGGCCCGAGGACTTCCCTCCGTCCGTCTGGCCGATTGTTTTGTGTTGTGGCCGCCTTAACCATGACCCGCCTACTTAAGTCACACCCACCTGACCCGCTGCACGTCGCGACGGGGCGTGGCGGGGCGTGAGGGGGTGGGGCGTGGCGGGGTCAAAGGACTCGGCTGGCGGGCGGTGGATGACTAGGGACAAAATCAGAGATTCCAAGTCGCGGTGACGACGTGGGTGGCGTCCGGGAGATTGACGGCGTCCACCCCTTCCTGACCTGGGCGGTGGTTCCGCACGCAGCCCCGGGTGTTGTGGGTGTGTCCCCGTGACGACCGGCCCGTCGCGCCGGCCGCCCACAAACACAGTTCAAAGCTCAGAGGAAGCCGTCTGTGGACACGGGGAGACTCGGCTAACCCCCCCCC